GGATCAATTGTATACCAAAAATAGTGTCTCTTAAGGCGGGTAAAAGTTATGTGAATATGGGGTGACGTATATGGACACTTGAGCACCAGCAAGACCCCCACCTCCATAACATTGTGTCCTGCCCGTGGCAGGGACTTTGCATTGGAAGTTGACATCACATTCCATTTCCATTCCATTCATCCAGAGGCAGAAAAAGTCTAAGTTAACTTTTGGAAGAACCAGAGGAAGGGGTGAAAATGGATAAAATGTATCCGAAAATAGTGTCTCATTATTCCGTGACAACTCCCCTTGAATTCCTCCAGAGACCAGTTCAAAAACTTAATGTTGTGTAAGAACCATGATTGGGGGTCCTCCAGGCAACAATTGTATCCGATCCAAAGTGCTCATGTAGCGGATGCATTCCTCCATGATTTCCCCATCATGTGAAATAGGCCGTTTTTTTCAAAGTGCTCTCAGAAACCGGGTTTCCGATTTCGTGCAGATTGTAGCTTGGAAAAGATGAATGAATTTTTTGGACGGAGGAAGGGAGGTCTCGATTCCCCTCTCCGTTGTAAATTGCACCGGGGAGTGCAAATGTCTCCGGGGCTTCCGCCGGAAGCACCGAAGACTTGAGCTTGTTGTAGCCCCTCCTCCGTTGGCACTTAGCCGTTTTTTCGAGAATTTTTTCAAACTTCATTTTCGATTCTTTTAAGATATAATTGACCGTTTTCTTTACTTTGTTTTGCTTTCCACGGGTGGGGGTGCATGACAGGCCACCTATGAGCTCCCAAATTCGGCCTGGAACCTCCGGGAATTGTGGGCTAAGCTCCATAAACTGACAAAGTCACCCAGAAATGTCACTTTAATAGCCAACAAATATATAATACAAATACATTTAAATAGTAAAAGGTACAATTGTGCTCCTATTTACCCGCAATTTGATTTATATAGCCCCATGATAGTGAATACAAATCATTTCCATGGGAAAAAAGTGTTAAAATGCCTGATTAATATGTTTGTAATGCTGGCAGCAGGTTCACTGCTGTAAGCAGGGTCCCACAGTCACAGGCAGAGATCCAGGGTGATGCACATGGATTTCTTACCCAGGAATGAGTGTGTGAAAGCTGGGTAAAAGTGCTGTGAATACAGGGAGGGAGAGAGAGCAGCAGCAGCAGCAGGATGTGACCCAGAGACCCCCACCTCCAGGGGGACAGGTGTCGGCAGGATCCCCCACGGAAGAGGACAAGTACTTGGCAGGACCCCCGGCAGAAGAGTAGTCGGCGGGACCTCCAACGGCACAGGACATAGGGTTGGCAGGACCCCCGGCAGAAGAGTAGTCGGCGGGACCTCCAACGGCACAGGACATAGGGTTGGCAGGACCCCCGCAGAAGAGTAGTCGGCAGGACCCCCAACGGGACAGGACATGGAGTTGGCAGGACCCCGAGCGGAACCTCCAACATACCAAGACATTGGGTAGGGACTCGAGAGGAGACTCGAGAGGGAACTCGAGAGGTGAGTTGAGAGGGAACTCGAGAGGAGACTCGAGAGGAGACTTGAGAGGGGACTCGAGAGGAGAGTCGAGAGGAGACTTGAGAGGAGACTTGAGAGGGAACTGGAGAGGTGACTTGAGACGGTCGGTACGCCGACAGAACACGGGGAGCTGGCGTCGGCCGGGGAGCCAGTACTGGAGCCGAAACTGGAGCCAGAAACATGGCTGCTGGGGCCGGAACCATGGCTGCTGGGGCCAGGACTAAGGCTGGAACCATGGCTGCTGGGTCCAGAACTGGGGCCGGAACCATGGCTGCTGGGGCACGGGCTGGAACCCTGCGTCTCCTAGAGGCCCTTTGGAGACACCGTGGACCTCTACCAGGATAGTAGTCGGATCCCAGGAAAGGGTTAGAGGCTTGAGAAAAGTTTCCAGGACTACTGGTAAAAAGTTGTAGCCACTCAGGCAACAAACTCCTGAGCCAGGGCTTGCGAGTAACCTCCTGGCCTGCCTCCTTCAAAGCAGCCACTCTACCCCGTATAGATGAGGCGTCATACCACATATAAAAAATGTACTCCAGAGAGTACCCAAGACGTTCTGCCCGTAGCATCAAAAAAGCTGAATCTGCTGAGTCCAAAGCTGGTCGGTTCATTCTGTTACGGTTTGGGAAAGGTAGGACCCAAAAGCAGATTACAAAAAAAGGCTAAGGTCTACAAACAAAAGCGAGATTTATTTCAAAGCCGATCAGCAAAATAGCATGGCATGGATAGCACAGAGGTAACACGAGGAAAATACAATACCCAAAACACGGTCGTGACCAACATGGAGGGAGACAGGACAAAACAAACAATGAACCGACACCGAACACAGGAAGAGACAAGACTAAATACAGGGACGGGTAATCACGAGAAACACAAGGGCAACAGGTGAACACAATCAGACAATCAGACACACCAGGGAAACTAACGACAGGGAGGAAAACACAGGGAGAAGGACCAGACAAGAAACAAGGAGGAAAACATGACAGGGAGAACAGAACAACAAAATAACCCCACAACTAGACACAACAAAACTCAAACCCTGACATGATTGAAAATAAAACAGTGTCTTACATTATCATATTTGTTATATCATTACTGTTATATCATTGCTTACTATACGTGGTTATCAAGTATCAGACACTTAAACAACAGCGAAGGTTTTAAGAAATAGGACTATACTGACTTATTCAGCCGTTTGCTTGTTTAATCTGATGGGAAATATATCATTCAAAAGAGAGAAAAAAGCTTATTAAACTAGACGAACGCTCAATACAGGCGATGACGTCACCTTTGCGCGTCCCCGCGAACAGGGCTTCAATCTACGGCACAACACCGGGCCACACTCTTCTCTTGATTGCCGAGACAGGCAGCCGCAGAACCCCTACATTGCCAATCTGCCCTTAATTGTTGTATATCCAGTACATACTGTAAGCCGGTATGTTCAGGAATGATACTGTGAGTTATTTTATCATACAGTCTCTGCCCCGCACCATAGCCCCGTTTATCCTTATCCCATCCATTATTTTATATTTTCATCAGCCATTGTCACTTCATATAGTCCGTCTCCTTTCACCCTGCACCCCATCACCACTCCACTTTTTTTTTTTTAAACTCCTTTTAGCAGATCCATTACAGATACCACTGCTTTTCCCCTTTCCACCGCCGCCGCCACCACCGTAAGCTCTTTTTTTATATTTATCCTCTTCCACCACCCACTCCAACTCCTCTCTCACCTCTTTTTGTTTCCCTACTGCTGTTTTTCCATTTTGTCCGCTCGCATTTTCGTTGTCATTGTCCTTTCCTTGTTCATTCACAGTTTCCCGTCCCTCTCCACACTCCGCTGTAATGTTTCAATGTCCGGGATCCGTGACGCAGTCAATAAAGCCATTCCAGTTTTCGTTGCCAGTATCCATCAAAACGAAAAACACACGGGTCGGGGGAAACCCCCAGACAGCAAGGCTGTTTTGGGGGGGGGGGGGGACTAAAAACAAAAACAAACTATAAGTTTGACGAAACAAAATAGATTCACAAACAAACAATTCACCTCTCCTTCTTGGACCAAAACACGCACGCAGGCTCATAGGCCCCCTACTGACTGAGCCACTGTCGGACACTGTTATCACACATAGCTCAACGTTCTCCATATCTGTTCAGAAACTTATGAAACGTCATTGTTTATAAATGTACAAACCACAGACTGAATGAAAGTGCTGCTTTATTTCTGTCTGTATGACGTTGTTGTGAGTGTGGAAGGAGCGGCTACATGTTAGCTTAGCGCGATCGATCCGACCTCCATTCAGACAACATGTTAAACGTCTGCCGTCTTTTAAGCACACTTATCAAACCAAAACCATTCATTCATAGTTTTACTTCCCGGTTTTATTCTGTAGTTATTTCGGCATCAATTTGAAAACGTGTATTTCAATTAAATCCCAGAAAAATATGTTGATATTGTTGTTGGTATTTACATGGAGATAAGCCCCGCCTCCTCGCCAGTGCGTCTAGTTTGAGTGACGCGAGGAAACACCAATGAGGCTGCCGTTAAACTCGTAACGGTATGCGTATCTTAGCTGTCAGTGAAAAGCATTAAAAAACATTATTTTAATTTCAAAATGACGACAACAATAAAGACGTTAAAGTTAATTTACTGGAGTTTTTTTTTAACGTGAGTCTTATTTTTGTAGCTCTAACTTCCTGTTGCTTCTGTTTTCAAACCCTTTAGAAAATAGGATCATTAGTTGTTTATTGCGGATGATTTTAATCGGAAACCTTTTATACAAAAAAATGAAGCTGCTAATACTTAATAATTAAAAAATAGTTTGTCATTTTTCAAGTGTCTTAAATGTGAGGAAATATTTTGATTATTTTCAAATCAAAGGAGTTATTCTGATTTACTTTCAAACTGTGACACACTTTATTAAATATTTTTTTAAACCTTTAAATCTTTAGTTAAAAAACGTTTTTTCAATACAATTCCAAACAAATTGAGAAATGAAATGTCAAAGGATGACTGAAAATAAAGTCAGCCGTCTCCAGCCTGACTGAAAGTTATTATAATATCATCTTTATGAAATAATTTATTAAGTTTAAGGTATTTTTTCAATCAAGAAATGGAGCTTAAAGTACATTTTCAATTATACAAAATCTACACATTTAATTGAAAATAAACTTCAAAATAATGATTTTTTTAAAGTAAATTATTAAATATATAAATCAACAAATAAATAAACCCAGGGAAAACAAACTTCTAAAAATATGTTCAAGAGAAATTATAAAACTTCAGCGTTCTCCCGTGAATAAAACAATTTAATTTTTAAAATGCATATTCAATTTTGTGGGACCGTAATCATTTACACAATATTTAATACATACAACTCGACTATGTTAGTGTCTTTGATGTACCTCTTTTAGAAGCGTGCGTTTGTGTGTGTGTGTGTGTGTGTGTATGTGTGTGTTTGTGTGTGTGTGTGTGTAAATATTTTGAAGAAGCTTACTTTGTTTTTAATTCATGTTTTTAATAATAATGAATTTATTCACAGAGGCAGTTTGAACAGTGTTACAAGTTGAATCACATATCAAATGTAACATGTCTGTGTTTAAATCCTCCTCTTTTCTCTCAGTAAGTGCAAAAAAAGTAATTAAACAGACTGACAGGAAATAAACACTAAAGGGAACAGCAGAAGAAGACAGACAACAGGTACACGGTATGAACAGACTTGGACAGTTATAGCATTGGTTTTTATAACATATGTCTCCCCCTGATGTCAATTGGTTTGTATTCAAAATATATGATGTTCATATATGTTTTTGTATAAAATAAATGAAAGAAAAGGTGGCTTTAGGGTCTGCGCTGCTGGCGGTCAGACGGCCACATCACCTGGCCAATCAGGTACCGGTAACAATTCAGTACCTGACACCCATCTCTAGTTACAGTTAGCAACGTACAAAACTAGCAGGGGCTTTCACACTCACTCCACGAGGTTTTTCTTGTTGAGCTCTTCGTAAAGAAGCGGGTCCAGCTCACGGAGAGCTTTGATCAGAACCTTGCTGGCTGCTACTCCTTTTTTTTGCACCGCGTCCACCACCTCTCGTGCTCCGTCTCGTGCTCCCTTATTTTGGGATTTGGCTCTGGCTGACTCCATTTCAGATGTCCTGATCACTCCAGACTCAAGGAGTTTATCCAGAAGGTCGTTAAGGACAGTTTCAGTCATTCTGTTAATGAACTCTGTCCGAAAGAGCCGCCACTTCTCTGCTGGGACTCTGCTCTCTGCTGGGTCTCTGCTCTCTGCTGGGACTCTGCTCTCTGCTGGGACTCTGCTCTCTGCTGGGACTCTGCTCTCTGCTGGGACTCTGCTCTCTGCTGGGACATTTATCTGGGACAATTCCTTCCTTGGATCTGGAAGACAAACAGGGGAAATACTTTTGTTAACCAACAATCACATTAAACAGATCTCTTAACAATTAAAGTATAACTCAGCATTCCCAGAGGTGGATTTATGTTCACTTGAAGTTATAATATGTAGCATTTCCTTATAATGTATAACAACTCCTACACCTCTATTATTTATATTGTGTTGAGTTGTGTACGTACATTATCCCAAATGGTTCAGAGAGATGTGTCATTTTAATCAAGGTAACAGTACGTTCATCACGGTCTCCTGTAATGGCGGCGTATCCACTTAACCACGAGAAGCTGAAGACTACAACTCCCATGATTTGTAGGACTAGAGGGAAAGCGTTCTTGGACGCCTTTTCAGCTTACTATATTCTTCCTACCTCGTTTACCTTGAACTATTCTAGGAGAGTGTGTTGACGTTGACTCGTTGGGCCTTTCCTCCTGTACTTGTTTGTTCCCCAGTTCTTTCCTTTAACTGAATCTAGGAGAGGGCATTTAGGCCTCTCTACTTCCTTCTTTTGATTAGTTTAGTTTTTCACCCCCTTTCCCTTGAACTAATTTATACAGGAGAGTGCATTTACGTAGTCACGTTGTGCCTCTCGGCGTATACTTTGACTTTCTGTCTCTTTGGAGAGTGCTAGTACGTTGGATACGTTGGGATTTTTCACTGTTGTCCCTCTTCACTAGTATCCCATGTCCCCTCTTTATAATTTGGGTCTTCATAATTTCCACCCTATTCTAAGGGGAAGCATGATGGTGCCTTTTCTTTTCAATTTCTGGCTTTGTGTTTCTCATTTAATATTTAGGAGAGTGCATTTACGTAGTCACGTTCTGCCTCTCTTCCTGGCTATTCTTTTCATACCCTTGTTTCTCTGAGAAGAGAAGAAATTATATTCTAAAAGGAGCTGACACATGGTGTCTCTTCACTTGTACACTTGAGGGGTCAGAGTTCATATGGTGAGGGATTCCATGAGCGATATAGGCCTTTACCTTGGACTTCTAATAGAACTGCTCGGGTCTTGATAGATTGAGTGGGGAAGTTCATGAGATCTTTCTAGAGGGTTATCAAGAATAACTTTTATCCAATGACCTTTTCCCTCTCTGTCTGTGTCTGTGTATTCTCTTGTTCCGATTAACCCAGCCAAATCTTTTTTCTTGTTTTGTATCTATATCTACGCCGGGATCCGGAGTCGAGGCTGATCCTCTTGCTGTAGTCCTGTGTCTTGGATCCTCTATCCCGAGTTCTGGATTAAGTCGTGGACGTTTCGGGTTGTGGCTGAACCTGTCTCTGCGGTCCTGCCTTGGGTCTCGCCATGCTGCTTCCCTGATGGCTTCCTCAGGATTGTAGCTGACATCCTCGTGGATTAATCTTCTTATTACAGACACATGCATTTCCTAACATTCGGTCTATATGCTGTAAAATGTATTATCTCTTCGATTTACACACGGCATCTATTGCACGTCTGTCCGTCCTGGGAGAGGGATCCCTCCTCTGTTGCTCTCCCTGAGGTTTCTCCCATGTTCCCTTTAAACTGTGGGTTTTCTCTGGAAGTTTTTCCTTGTACGATGTGAGGGTCTAAGGACAGAGGGTGTCGTCTTTCTCATACTGATATTCTGAACAATCTGTGTTGTTGTATTTGCTCTAAAGTGTCTCTACTGTAGGCTAATTTTATTATATGTACAACACTTTGGCTCCACCAAAAATCGTTTATAAATGTGCTATATAAATAAAACTTGATTTGATTTGATTTGATGATGCCCCGCTGTTTCACCACCACACTAGTTTTTACTATGGTTTTAGAATATAACAGGTTGTGTGTTTAATGTCGTAATGATACGCTGCCATGGAGTCTTAATAGAGAAGGCTATGAGATAGAGCTTTAGCGTTATCAGTCTATCACTGGGTCTGAGCTCAGGTGGAGTCTTTACCTTCCAGTGACACGCGATAATTCCAGACTTCATTTCCACCTTGGTCCTTGACCTTCAAGAACACTCTCTCTGTGCTCGTCATCAGGGACACTTGAAATGTCGGATGGTAGTTTGGTCCAAACATGGATTTAAATGTTTTACTCTGAAAACCAGAAGCAGAAGTTAAATGTTTATCTTCTTTCTTTCTTTCTTTCCTGATTGTGGATCCACATGCAGATAAATGTGTGTTAATGATCATTGTGTTTCTTTAGAGGAGTATCAGTGACTCACCTCAGGCTGAATGAAGAAGCCCTCAGGTTCACAGTGCACACTGTAACTGTGATCAATGTCCAGCTCACAGTCGGAGGAGATTGGGATGTTCACAGCCCGTTTGTGTTTTTTAACAACCTTCAGTAACAGGACAATTTGATCAATTTAAAACAACATATGTTGACAGACCTGCAGTACAGAGAGATAAGAATTACAATCAATTAAGAATAACATCATGAGGACATATTTGAGTAGATTAATTAAAGTGTGGTTAGATGTCTTTGCAGGGGTGGGGAACCTCCAGGCCGTATACGGACCGCGAGACCATTTGGTACGGCCCTCGAGGTAATTTATAAACACACGCAAAATAGAAAACAATTCAAGAAATCTAGACCGCAAAGTAATCAAACATGCGAGTGCCTGTTTTTCCTGGCCAAGGTCAGGGTCCTTGAACACAACACGAGCCTAACGTGTCATCACGTGGTATATGTCTCGTCTGACTGTGGCCGTTTCTCAATCTCAAGGATACTGGCTTCCAAGCCAATATTTCAAGGATGCTACGTCATAGAGTGCCGCCGAAGGACTATTCCAATGTCCAGCATACTTGGAATTCCACCGAGGCCGCGTCCTTGGTTTGGGGATAATTTCGAGGCTGCACATGGGTAGACTTTGCGTCCTTAAAATCCCCACAATGCTTTGCGCACGGACCAATTTCCCCAAATCTGTGGCGGAAAATGTAAGGCGGGGCCTCTCATATGACGCACACCTGCACACTTGCTAGCCTGTTCCACTCTTCGTTTTCCGAATGCCAGGAAGGATTCTTGCCTAGCTGCTGAAGCAAGTGACTCGGAAGCAGAGGTTGCGTTAACCGAATATTTTCCGCCTATGACGGATTTTTTTTAACAATGACGGAAAAATCTGAAAACAGTCCGTCATTTTGACAGATTAGAACAAACTCAGAACAGCACCAAAGCTTCCCCGCAGCGAGGCTCCGGTGTTATGCATGCCCACCAAAAAGGAAATGATATAGTTTCCAAACCTAACTTTGCCGTACAAATAATTGATAAGTCTTTGAGTTTTTACTTTACGCTGTGGCACGCTCCAGCGAGGTGCAGTGAGCATGCATAATACGGCATAACACCGGCGCTAATAGTTCACCACCCCTGCCCTAAAGGGTCATGAAAAAAAATAAAGAATGTATCTCATGCAAGAAAGTTACCGGTTCGCCAAGTAGGAGAGATGTGCCTTTTACGCACCACCTTCACTGTGTTTACCTTCATTAGAACAGCTGAATAGAGATCGACGCTGCTACGTTTTAACCACACACACCTCTACACACACACACACACACACACACACACACACACACACACACACACACACACACACACACACACACACACACACACACACACACCTCTACACACATCGAACTGCCCGATTATTAAGCCATATTATTAGTTTTATGAAGGAGATGTCCGGTCGCCAGGGCGTGTGTATGTGTGTGTGTGTGTGTGACAATGGCATTTGTTTTCAGAAGATATTATGAAAGTGTTGTTTGTTCCGGTGCACTCCGATAGGACTGAGCACTACATCGAGATTAAGATTAAACAAACTTCTTCACTTGGGAACACACACATATACCTATGGAGTTGGCCAGATGTGTGTAAATTAATGTTCATGGTCATTTGAAAACAAAGGCTGGTGTCGGGCACATACGAACACACACGCACAGAGCAAAGCTGAGCAGAGCACACACACACACACCATGTGCCTTAGTGACCGGACATCTCCTTCATAAAACGAGTAATAGGGGGAACTAGAGAATGCAATTCCTGAAGAAATTGCTAGTTGGAATGCTTTATGCTGAAAAGCTGACACTGAATTGGTATGCTGAAATGTAATGTGTAAGAAGAAAGTGAATAATTTAGATTGAAATGATACATGAACACTGGGGGCTTGAATGTGTGATGAGAGAAGAAAATAAAGTAAAAAGGCTTGGAAAAGCAGCAGAATATTTGAACTGCAAACTTTTGAACTAACTTGGTGGCAAATGATCTGTCGCCATGCCAACGGCATTTGATGACGTCCCATAATACGCTTAGATGCGTTGATGGCTGCATCGTTACCAAACCTGTGAAGTTTTGGGCCGTTTGGAACATTTTCACTGAAGTTATGAGAAAACCGTGTTACATGGTGACGAGCATTGTGTTGCCATGGCAACAGCATTTGAAGAAATCTCAAAACTGTCCCGTAGATGTCTTCACGGCTGGACTGTTAGCACACATGTGAAGTTTGAGCACTTTTTGAACATTTTCATAGAAGTTAATGGGACATCGTCTTTTATGGAGAGGGATGGAAACGGCATATGGTGAGATCTCAGATTTGGCGTAAAGCTGTTGAGGCATGGACCGGTGATATACAAGTGAAGATTGGGGGACGATTGGACCGTGTCCATTGGACTTACATCGACATCGTGTTTTATGGCGAGTGGTCTGTCGCCATGGCAACGGCATTTGATGACACCCCATAATACGCTTAGATGCGTTGATGGCTGCATCGTTACCAAACCTGTGAAGTTTTGGGCGGTTTGGAGCATTTTCACTGAAGTTATGAGAAAACCATGTTTCATGGCGAGCATTGTGTTGCCATGGCGACGGCATTTGAAGAAATCTCAAAACTGTCCCGTAGATGTCTTCAAGGCTGGACTGAAGTTTGAGCACTTTTTGAACATTTTCATAGGAGTTAATGTATAGCGACATCGTCTTTTATGGCGAGGGATGCGTTTCCATAGAAGCGGCATATGATGATGACACCCCATATTTGACGTAGAGCTGTTGAGGGCATGGCCGTTAACCTTTATCTGAAGTCTGCTGCTCTGAGCATGTCATTGGAGCGATGACATCATCGTGTTCCATTACACAGGTGTTTCTATTTGAGCTAACGAGGTGTCCAGAGATCAAAGGTTTTCATCGCTCTGAATGAGAGATAAACCTCTTACATGTGAACATTTTGTTAAAGAACCGTAACAGATATCGGTGAAATTTCAAAGCGTGAAGTATCTCAAGGAAGTTGAGTATCTGAAGTGTGCTTTTTGTGTACTTTCGGGTCAATAATGTGGCCTTTTTGGCAGATTAACTAAAGGTGTGCGGCTGCCGATGTGAGGAGAAATCAGCCTGAAATTACAATGGGCTTTAATGGAGGAATGTTGAACGTTGTTGTCACTTCATGCCCTCAAGAGGCACTTTGTTTAATTATTATTGCTTAATTATTTGTCATTTTTCAAGCTACGAGATGTTTTCCTACGTTTGTCATGAAAAATGTTGTCTCAGGAATGTAGGGTTTTGCACAGCAGCCACCGCTCATCGGTTCAGTAAGACAATGCGGTCCGTACGCTTGGTTATGGTCATTTTCAGATAATGATTTGAAGGTCACCTATTGAGCAAAATCCACTTTTTCATCTCTCTTCTACATCAACATGTGTCCTCTCTTCTTCATGTCTCTTCTACATCAACATGTGTCCCCTCTTCTTCATGTCTCTTCCACATCAACATGTGTCCCCTCTTCTTCATGTCTCTTCTACATCAACATGTGTCCCCTCTTCTTCATGTCTCTTCTACATCAACATGTGTCCCCTCTTCTTCATGTCTCTTCTACATCAGCATGTGTCCCCTCTTCTTCATGTCTCTTCCACATCAACATGTGTCCCCTCTTCTTCATGTCTCTTCTACATCAACACGTGTCCCCTCTTCTTCATGTCTCTTCTACATCAACACGTGTCCCCTCTTCTTCATGTCTCTTCTACATCAACATGTGTCCCCTCTTCTTCATGTCTCTTCTACATCAACATGTGTCCCCTCTTCTTCATGTCTCTTCTACATCAACATGTGTCCCCTCTTCTTCATGTCTCCTCTACATCAACATGTGTCCCCTCTTCTTCATGTCTCTTCTACATCAACATGTGTCCCCTCTTCTTCATGTCTCTTCTACATCAACATGTGTCCCCTCTTCTTCATGTCTCTTCTACATCAACATGTGTCCCCTCTTCTTCATGTCTCTTCTACATCAACATGTGTCCCCTCTTCTTCATGTCTCCTCTACATCAACATGTGTCCCCTCTTCTTCATGTCTCTTCTACATCAACATGTGTCCCCTCTTCTTCATGTCTCTTCTACATCAACATGTGTCCCCTCTTCTTCATGTCTCTTCTATATCAACATGTGTCCCCTCTGTGGAAAGAGACTCTGAAAGTTTCAGGAACAAAGATTCTCTCTCTTTTTGATCCATTTCTATAAAAACCTGTCTGAAAATGAGCTGATCAGATTGTGGCCACTTTATGATGTCATAACGATGTTTTGGCTTGTGTAACCATTAGCCAATCAGCAACCAAGGTAACGATTAGGGTTGGACTCTCAAAATACTTCCTCTCAATCTTTCAGTTGTTGAGTGTTTCAACCGTGCCTTTCAGTATTTGCTAACCATCTGATTTACTGTCGATGTTAATTATGTAACCTGCCATTCATACATTCATCATCACATTATTGATATAATACTTATGTTATTCTGTGGTTTATATATTCTTAGCAGTTCATGATTATTTCATTTATAAAGAACCATGGTATGTGTTTTGTGTGTGAAGTAAATCAGCCGATGTTCACAGAGTAAACTCAGATTTTCAGATTATGAAACTAATTGTGTTATCATGTTATCTCTCTCAGTAGGGAGCTTGGGGCCACAACATCTTAACATTTATTTTTACATATTTTAAAGTATGAAGGTAAACTTCGAGTTTGATAACCAAAGTAGAGTGTGGCACATCTGAGTCTTCTCACAACCAAGAAAGTTTGAAAAGAGGAGCAGTGTCCGGCAGTGGCTCAAACAGCAGGGGCTTGGACTGGGAGCTGTAGGGCCGCTGGTTCAAGTCCCTGAACAGATGTTAAATATGAAGTGTGGACTGCTACTTGGAGAGGTCCCAGTTCACCTCCTGCCCTGCTGTGGTGCCCTTGAGCAAGGCATTGGACACCCCCCACCCCCCCACTCCTGTTGCTCCCCAGGCGCTGTGCAATAGCTGCCCACTGCTCCTAGTGCTAGACTAGGATGGGTAAAAAGCAGAGAACACATTTCACTGTGTGCATGTATGTGTGACCATTAAAGAGGGTTGCAATCCTCCAATTATATTATATTCTATTCAGTAGGGAGCTTGGGGCCACAACTTCTCTGTGGAAACAGCTATGGTTTCAAACCAGTGTTTAGTCTGATGGTGAGCACTTTACCTCCTCCTCAGGGACGTTGTTGTGCAGCAGAAATACATCCAGTATTTGCTCCTCTCGGCCCGGGGGTCGTAGGAACACCAGAACTTGGCCATTTATCCGCCACTTTAGAAGCCTTTTCAATTTATCGATGATGAGGCCAAACGGAGAGAGGTGAAGCACCTTCACCACCACGTGAGTGCGTGTGACCTCCAGCGGCTCCAAGATGCTCAGGCCTTCATCAGTGATGTGGACGACAGACAACAGGCCGTCCAGGAGCAGCGCTGTGGAGCAAAGAGCTGGTCATCTGTTGCTTTGCTGCTGAAACAGCTTCATCATATTCAATGTCCCACCACGTTAGCTCAGAGCTAATGTTCATCTAATTCACTTTGGAGCCTCACTAGGATGTACCAGTTTATATCCTCCACCTTTTATCCTAATGTGTAATTATTGATCTGCCCCCTGTGATCTTTCTGGATGTGAGCATTTACTGAAATGTTTGCAATCTGCAGCCAGAACAGCTTGACTGAGTCCGGTCTCATGTCTGAGTGATTCTCTAGATGTGTGAAGAGTCTTCTAAAGCTTTCAGGGCGTAGAAAGTCTAACTTATAAATGTTGTTGTCTGTTGTTTTGTTTTGTTCATGGTTCAGCCAGACTGACAGTGTGAAGAGCAGAAAGAGCAACAGATGGAAATCAAAGTAAGAAGTATTCAAACTGCTAGCTTAGCATCACAACAGTAACAGAGAGTTAGCGTTGAGTTAGCACTGTTAGCAGCAGAGCATGCTGTGGACTGACCAATCACAGTTTAAAACTCTTTAATATTACAGAGAGGAGACTGCAGAGGGCGCAAAGAAAATCCAACTCAGTATTTAGAGCTGCATTGCATCGTCTGCTTCAATAATGATCAATGATGTCATGAAACACATCGACTAAATGGACGTTTTATAATTTAATTCTTCTTCTTTTGGGGACAAAACTATTTGAATGTAAAGAACAGATTTGGTGTTTGAATGATCTTATCTTTATTAAACTAGTTTAATAAAGCTGATTCATAACCTTTGAACAGTAGTGGAGAGTATAAGGTGCTAATAATTATATAAGTATATTTGTGAACACTAGATGTCTTTACCATCCTCTGTCTCACTGTGTGGCAGGTGGAGCTGGCAGATGGCAGCTTCATCAGAACTCTTCACGTCGAACAGCGGCCCTGCTGCCTGCTTGCCAGCTGATTGGAGGAGGCTCTCCTCCCAAGGGACCGCCCTGTACAGAAGCTCCGCCTCCTGAGCCATGACGAACACCAGGCCAGTCGAAGCACACTGGAACTCACCTGGACCAGGACACCTGAACCTGTAGACACGCAGGGGACAAGTTACTACAACAAGCTTCACTGGCCTGTGTTCTGACTGACAGGTGTTCATCCAGCTGGAGTCTGACCTGCAGGAGGGTTTGATGTAAGATCTGAAACACCTGATGATTACAGGAACATCACTGAAGATGTGTCCACATGCATCAGGATGTGTGTGTACACACACCTTCATTAAATTAACACAATGTCTAGTCCAGCGAGGATCTAGACTGGTACAAGAAAACAATCCTTCCTACACAGAGGCATTATTTTATTGTCTGTTGGAAAGAGATCGGATGCAATTCCTCAAGGTGAAAGACATGAAATCAAACACAATTAAATTAATATATATTTGTAATGTGTTTAAAATAATGTTTGGTCATGTTATAGGATTACCTGTATGAAGACTCAGTTGTGAGTTCAGGTGAGAAGGATTGAGGAGCCTGGAACAAACAAAGTTATTATTTTAATAGAAATCAAGTTAAGTTCTAGCTTCATGAAACTAAACCAGCACATATTCAGAGCAATTAGAACAATGCAAATGAGTCTGGATCATCTGAGTTCATTGTCAATTTCAATATCATGTCACAGCAGTACCAGCCAATCACAGCACAGTAGTACCACACACACACACACACACACACACACACACACACACACACACACACACACACACACACACACACACACACACACACACACACACACACACACACACACACACACACACACACACACACACACACACACACACACCTCTTGTGGAACGCTGAATGAAGGGCGATGTAGCCCTTCATTCAGGAAAAATGATTCTTATGGTATTCCCAAAAACAAATATGAGACCTTTTATAAATGCTGTTCAACACATAAATGGGATGATCTTTTTCTGGGAATAGACCACGAAGAAGACAGTCAAATGTTCTCAAAAACATTAGAGAGCACTATCAGAGATTTCAATTGCAAATTCAAGCAAGAAAATAAGAAAAACACTGTCCCTTGGATACATTTGAATATTTTAAAACTAATGAATGAAAACAAATCCATCAGGCCATGACAGGCATCACTTTGCTGTGCTGAGGAACAAAGTCATTAAGAAGTTACGGAAGGCTTAGGCAGACTTCTTCTTGACTATAATAGACAAGGCAGGGTTCATTCTAAAATGATCTGGAAACAGTCATAACTATTCACTGGAAATACATATAGGGAAATAAAACAGCTTGAACTTAAAGACAATGGAAAGCTTATAAACAATCCAGCTGACAGAGCTGAAGTTTTAAACCACTACTTCATGGATTCTGTTGCAACCATTGCACAGTGTTTCTCACCTGACTGCACACATTTGTGTTATGTTAATACAATTGAGCCGGCTTTCAGCATAAGAAATATCACTGAATCTGAAGTTACAAAAGTGATAGGATCTCTTAAAGCATTTAGAACAAAGGATATATTTGGCATGGACATGGCTAAAAGATCTCAGCACAACACTTTCTTATCCTATTGCCAACCTTTCTGTCAGGGAATGATTCCAAGTGTTTGGAAGCTGGCTATAGTGATCCAAATCTTTAAAAGTGGAGACATTCCTGTTACGACAGTCCAATTAGTATCCTTCCTACAGCGTCAAAGGTTGCTGAGAAACTTGTGTCTGAGCAAATTATTGACCATTTAAACACTAGTACATTTTCTCTGCATCCAGTGCAGTTTGGCTTTAGGGCCAAATAGTCAACAGAGACCGCCAACTGTTTTTTCATAGAACAAATCAAAAACACTTAAATGGATAGCATCTTATTTGTTTAACCGATCTCAGTATGTGAGAGTTCAAAATTATGAATCTTTTGACCTTCGTCTTTCGACAGGGGTCCCACAAGGTTCAATCCTGGGACCATTACTATTTTCGCTATATATAAATGATTTACCATCTGTATGTCCTGACACAAACATCCAAATGTACGCATATGACACTGTAATATATGTACATGGAAGCAATATGACACAAGTGGCTAATGAACTAACAAACACCATGGTTCATGTAACAGCTTGGTTGGAACAATGCTGTTTGCAACTAAATATTTGTAAAACCGTATGCATCTTCTTCACCAAAACAAAGTCCTCTTGTGTTGAGCCAGATATGTTTGTATCAGGGGAGAGGCTACAGGTGGTGTCACAATCCAATACCTCGGAGTCATGATTGATTCAACACTTAATTTCAAGGCTCAGGTTCAAAAAGTATGTAATAGGGTCAAATTCAGTCTGTCGAATGTTAGGTTCACCAGAGATTACATGTCAATTGAGGCATCTCTGATGTACACACACTCTATGGTTCTCTCACACATCACCCACAATTAAACATGCAAATGCTTGTCTTTTGCCGGAGAGCAATTAGCAGTGCAAAGAGACAATACAGAGACGAAGTGGAGTCTGACTTCAAAGGCTGTAAAACCCGGAACTTGTGGGCGGGACTAAGAACAATGACAGACTACAAAGGAGCAGCAGGGGGTGCTGCGGGACTGTCTGCGTGCGCATCTCTCCCAGATGAGCTGAACAGCTTTTGTGCTCGATTCGAGAGCAGCCAGGCTGTGGAGGCACAGAAGGACCGGGAGCCCTGCCCTTTTGTTTTAAACAGGGCGGATGTGTGTAAATCCTTTAAAAGGGTTAACCCACACAAGGCTCCTGGACCTGATGGCATCCCTGGCCGTGATCTCAGGGTGTGTGCAGTTCAGTTGGCAGAGGTGTTCACAGACATCTTCAACAGGTCCCTGCTGCAGTTTGTAGTCCCCACATGCTTCAAACACTCCACCATCGTTCCTGTCCCCAAGAAGACAATAATCACCAGCCTCAATGACTACCGCCCAGTAGCACTCCATCATAATGAAGTGCTTTGAGCGGTTAGTCAAAACCAGTGGCGAGTGACTTTTATACCTAGGCCCCCTGACCCCCCCTTCCCTCGAAAAAAAAGAAGAGATATTATGTCACAGCGTATACTTCAGCGGAATATCAAAACAACGGCCCGGGGTGCAAAACGCATCAATGACAGCGACCCTCTACCACACAGAACAACACCATTTATATAAACACCTATCATGACAGGGCACCCACAGCCAAGTAACAATTAAACATGAATTAAGTCGGCACGGCGGCCCACATTGAAAATGACTTAGGCCTACCTTTGATGATAAATCACTGAAACACAAAGTCCATCCTCCTGTCCTTTTGGATGAAGCACTTGATGGCGGGTCATTCAGCTGATCCTTTGCCACTCCAGTTTATCATTGTAACTCAATCTTGAAAATGACTCGGTTAATAATTTCGCAACGATGTCATCACTATCACTGAAGTGAGCAATCATGAACGAACTTATGCTAATTATAAATCTATCGATCATAAATCTATCGATTAGATTTATGATTCAAAAATAATAAAAGTAGGATAGACATGTGGATATTATCCGTCTGAACAAAACGTGCATTTATCTAACAGGTTCTTTTCCACAGACCTTATTTCGAACTATTTTCCAAAATCGTATGGAGAAATGCCATTGCTTTCTGTCGAGGGAATCCGAGCGGAGCTTACTTCCGGGTTTTAGGACGCGTCACTGCACCACTTACATAGACCTCACAGCGGGCGGAACTTGTCATAAAGTCCGCGAAAATAAAGCCCGCCCATTTAGAGGGAAGATATGATTGGTCAATTGTACTGTCATTTGACATTACTCTCTCGTTGAGTTACTACAGCGGGCCCTCTGTGAATGTAGAGAGGGACCAACAAGCTCTCCCGTCTTCACATAACTCGCAGAGACGGCATTTAACCCTTCACATTCCAACAGAAACTGAACAGGCAGATTCGAAGGATTTATTTCTTTGGAAATATTATTTTTAAATACAATTAAATCAAGTTATTTTGGTAAAACTAATGAAAAATGTAACAACAAAAACATATTAAAAAAATATTTTAAAAAAAAAGTATTTTTTTTATTTTTTTTTTTAATGTTTTCAAATATTATTTCTTAGAATACTTAGGCCCTCACAGAGGGCCTAGAGGGCCCTGACGGCTCGCCACTGGTCAAAAACCTTCATCACCTCCTCCCTGACTCTCTGGACCCCCTGCAGTTTGCCTACAGAGCAAACAGGTCCACAGACGACGCCATAGCCCTCACCATCCATACTGCCCTGACCTTCTACAGGTGCACCATAGAGAGGATCCTGACCTTCTACAGATGCACCATAGAGAGCATCCTGACCTTCTACAGGTGCACCATAGAGAGGATCCTGACCTTCTACAGGTGCACCATAGAGAGGATCCTGACCTTCTACAGGTGCACCATAGAGAGCATCCTGACCTTCTACAGGTGCACCATAGAGAGGATCCTGACCTTCTACAGGTGCACCAGAGAGAGGACCCTGACCTTCTACAGGTGCACCAGAGAGAGGACCCTGACCTTCTACAGGTGCTCCATAGAGAGGATCCTGACCTTCCACAGGTGCACCATAGAGAGGACCCTGACCTTCTACAGGTGCTCCATAGAAAGGATCCTGACCTTCTACAGGTGCTCCATAGAGAGGATCCTGACCTTCTACAGGTGCTCCATAGAGAGGATCCTGACCTTCTACAGGTGCTCCATAGAGAGGATCCTGACATTCTACAGGTGCTCCATAGAGAGGATCCTGACTGGCTGCATCACGGCCTGGTACAGCAGCTGCACCGCCCTCAATAGTAAGGCTTTACAGAGGTTGGTGAAAACTGCACAGAACATCACCAGGAAGGAGCTGCCATCCATGGAGGACCTTTACTCCCAGCGGCTCAGGAAGAAATCCCTCAGGATTATAAAAGACCCCCATCCCCCCAGCCACACACTGTTCTGTCTGCTGCCGTCTGGCAGGCGGTTCCGCAGCATCCGGACTAAAACCACCAGACTCTGGGACAGTTTCATCGCACCGGCCATAAGACTATTAAACACCTGAACTTTGAAACAACATAAATAACATTCATCTGTTTGCAACTCACATTTATCATATATACCAACATTCCAATTACTGTATCTAGAATATTCTGCACAGTTTCTATCATATTCTGTTTCTATTATATTTTATTTACTTGTATTATTGTATCTGTTTATTGTGTTGCTCTGTTGGAGGAGCCTGTGACCTCAGATTTTCATTGTCACAACTGCACTGTAGCTGCTGCACAAATGACCATAAAACCCTTAAACCCTTGAACCCTTGAAACCTTGAACCCTTGAAACCTTAAATGACCAAGCCGACTGTTTGTTTTGTTGTTGTAATGTATCGTATGTCATGATCTGCACAACTGTAATGTGACACTGTCAATTCCAACTGCTCTGTCATTCCTGTCCATTTGTGTTTGACACTCAATAAACAAAGTTCATAATAAAAAGCTTGACGCTATTGAGTCAGTTAATTGAATATTGATGATAGCTGCTTTAGAAAGTGTCTCATCAGCTGCATGTTAGTGGTGTTCTGAAATGCCTCCACGCTCCTCGTCTCAAACACACCCACATTAAATAAACGGTAAATAAATCAATCTGAGCTCAAAGAATTGTCTTGATGCCATCAAACAATTACCAACAACTACAAGCAGTCTCAATCAATTAAAACATGTGATCGCTTTAATCACATTGATAATCTGTGTTTAAACTAAACGTTAGTATTTTAGAACAGACTTGTATTCAGGGATAGTGATTGATATCTTCTCTCGTACCTGCTCACATCGTTAGTAAGCAGCTCAGCAGCTGCAGTGCAAATTGCTCTTCATCCCTGACATCGCTCAGCGGTGATGTAGGCTTGCATTTCTCAATAACAACAATTTGAATACATAAATGGACATGTCTTTATGATGTCAGTCTTTATAGAGCCTTCATTATGAATTGTTTTTAAGTTGAAAGATAAACTCAGACAATAGTCGACAGCAATATCTCCTATTTCTCCGGTAAATAAAAATGTACGAACTTGTTTCTTTTGACTCATTAAGGTTTCTAGATGAATTACGAGCGCTCTATTGTTTAACTGGACAGCCCTAACAATTATATTTTAATTCAGTGGGGAAATAAATACACGCCACTCTGTTCATCTGCTCCTCTCTCACCTCTCTGTCTGTCTTCACTTCCTGTTCCACATCGGAGTCACCTGATGGAGAGAAGAGGTGAAACAGAAAGATAATAATGAAACTTGAACAAAGAGAAACATTAGCAGCCAAATTGATTGAATAGAGCTGTAACAAAATGGAACTAAAATATATTGTTGTTGTGCTATAAAGAACTTTGAAGATCAGGTTTAATGTACAATGTCTGGATGAATGGAGGATATGGTTTCAGTACTCACAGGTCTTCTGGATCTTGGCTCTGATCGTCTCTCCATTGATCCTGTAGAGATGAACACAATCCAACAGTTTTAGATCCAGTTTAAAATAAGTGTTTGTTCTTTGAGTCAGCTTCAGAGTCCTGATCTCATGCTTTACATCCCATCATATCTTCTCTGCAAACACTACGACTGCCTGCCTCAGCTCTCAGCTGCATCACAGGAAGTAACGTCGGGTTACGTGTGGTAACCCTTGTTATATTAGCACAGGCGGAGCCCTCTACTGGACTCTATGGGTACTACCTTACCCTGCGAACATTCTCCCACTGAGACTTCTATAGACGTAGCCGGCCTTGGGCGGGCCTACCTGAATGCGCGCGCATCACACCGTATAAAAGGAGGCCTCACCTCCTGACTATCATCCTACACCTCTCTTCAGCGAGCGGAATAGGACAGACAGTGCCCTGGGTAGAGGGCTCCGCCTGTGCTAATATAACAAGGGTTACCATACGTAACCCGACGTTATATCTCTCACAGGCTCCGCCCTCTACTGGACTCTATGGGTACAGTGGGTGGAGCCGCGATGTATACGCGCACTGTCATCCAACAACAATATTCCACCCTACTGCCCCTGACCGGCTTTTATGGTCAGCAGCTGCTGCCCCACATTCTCCTTTAACCCGGTTATAACCGAGGAGAAATCTGGGCTGTGGCTGACAGAGCACACCCTGCAGAAAGTGTGCTCAAAAAACAGTGCCGGGGGACCCCCCCCCCCCGCCCATAGACGGATGGGGAGAGCCCCCTCGGCCCCGGATGGGCTTACTACATGCCTGCCTCCCTGAATCCCTAAGGATAACAGGGAGAGCGTCAGAGCCCACGTCCCACACTCAAACACTGACCCCGTGCAGAGTGTGTGGACTAAAGTGTGGAGGGCTACCCCCCTCCTGCCTCTCGACAGGAGGAGAGTAGTCCTCCAGCCCTGTAAGGGCCCAGTGTGCCCCCCCACCGCCCCTCCCGGGACCCTCAGAAGGCCCGAGAACAGCGAAGGCGCATTACATCCGGGGAGGGGGTCAGATGCCAACTGACCCACAACCCCCCTCCCCCTACCAGTCCTGTGTTGCCCCCGCAAGCACAGACGAGGAGAAAGAGCCCGACATGTCCAAGAGATAAAACCTTATGAAGGGGCCTGGCGTCGACCAAGACGCCGCTGTGCATATATCCTCCACACTCACACCGTTGAATAAGGCTGTTGACGCAGCCACAGCCCGTGTGGAGTGTGCACGAACCCCCGTGGGGCAGGCTCTCCCTGCCTGTCCGTAGGCATGTGCAACGCACTCGCAGAGCCAGCCTGCCAGGCGTTTCTTGGACAGAGCTTTCCCGATCACCCCGCCCCCGAAGCACACGAATAGCTGTTCGGTGCGTCCAAGGGCAGCCGTGCGCTTCACACAACATGCTAGCGCACGCACCGGGCAGAGGAGGTGCAGTTTAGCCTCCCTGGTCCCACCATGGGGGGGAAGACTAAAACCCCCTAACTGAATAGCCCTTGACCTGAACGCACTCCTTAGGCTCTTGGGCAAAAAGGAGGGGTTCGGTCTGAGTGTCGAGCCGCTCTGGTCACCCCGAATCTGTAAACAGCTCGGGTGCACCGACAGAGCAGTTAACTCGGACACTAAGGCAAGAAGCAAAGCTGTTTTCCACGACAATGCTTTCAGAGAGGAGAGCTCCAGAGGCTCAAACGGCCCCGAGGCCAGAGCCTCGAGCACTAGGGGCAGGTCCCACTGTGGGGTGGAGGCGTGCACTACTGGGCGCAGCCTCCTGACCCCCTGTAAAAACCGCAACATCAGTGATTGACTAAAGGCTGACCTGCCGCAAAATCCCTCATGGCAGGACGAGATGGCTGCTGCATACACTTTCACTGTTGAATGCGCAAGCCCTCTGTCCACCAGTAACTGTAAGAAGGATAAAATAGAGCCTAACTCACAAGATAGGGGCTCTATTCTCTGCTCCTCACACCATCGCTGGAATCCTAGCCACTTTGGCCTGTAACAGGCTGTGGTGGATCCCGCTCTAGCTGCCTGGATAGACTGAATAACACTATCAGACAATCTCTCAGGAGGCAAACCTGGAGAGGACGGCCGAGAGTGGGTAACGCCCCGATTGCACCTGCCTCTTGAGAGATCGCCCCCCAGAACTGGGGAACCACCCAGGGCTGGTCCACCTTCATCTGTGTCATCTCTGAGTACCACGGCGCCCCAACGCGATCCGGAGCCACTAGGATGACTGACAGACGTTCTCGCCTCACTCTCCTCAGGAGGGGGAGAATGAGACGCAGCGGTGGAAAGGCGTATAGCAGCTTCCTTGGCCATGGCTCGTGTGCAAACGCGTCCACCCCCAAGGGTGGGTCGTCGCTCCGAGCCACGGAGAACCACAGGGCACAGTGGCTGTTTCGCCGGCTGGCGAACAGATCCACTTCCGCTCTCCCGAACTGGGCCCAGATTTGCTTCACCACCCTCGGGTGAAGCACCCACTCGCCTGGCAGGGGGCCGCCCCTCGACATGAGGTTGGCCCCTCTGTTCTCCAGTCCCGGGATATGGAGGGCTCTCAGAGATAACACCACCTCTGAAGCCCATAACCACAGTTCCTCCGCTGTGGTCAACAAGGCGGCAGATCGAACTCCGCCCTGCCTGTTGATGTAAGCCACTGTGGTGCTGTTGTCGCTCCTGACCATTACATGCCTCCCTTGAATTAGGGGCCTGAAATGCTGGAGGACTAACACTACCGCCCGTAGCTCTAGGAGGTTGCTGTGTCGAGACTCTGTTAGAGCCCAGCGCCCACCTATAGCGCTCTTCAGGCAGGTCCCTCCCCATCCTGTTCTGGATGCATCCGTGAACACTGTGATGTAGGAGGTCACCCGTCCCAGTGGAGACCCCCTCCGGAGGTGATCCGGAGACCCCCAAAACCGGAGGTTGCCCTCCACTGAGGGGGGGATGGTCACCAGCCGCCGCCTGTGCCTCTTGGGATCCAAGCGCAGGCTGGAGAACCACCTTTGCAGGCGGCGCATATGTAGTAACCCTAACGGGACCACCATGTGAGCAGCCGCCATGAGACCCAATGTCTGCATGACAGTAAAAGCTGTCACTGTTGCCCCCTGTCGCAGCCTGCGCACCCCCTGAAGAAGGGACGCACGTCTGCTCTCTGACAGGGTGGCGTGCGACGCGCCTGCATCGAGCACCACACCCAAATACAGCGCCTGTTGGTGAGGTATGGGGGTGCTCTTTTTCCAATTGATCGCAAAGCCCAATTTGGTCAGGTGTGTGATCAATTGTGCTGTGCAAAACATTGCCTGTTCCCGTGACCCAGCCATGACTATGAGGTCGTCTATGTAAAAGAAAACTCTCATGCCGTGGGCGCGCAGCGGTTGAAGCGCTGTGGCCACACATTTGCTGAATGTGCGTGGGGATAGGGAATAGCCGAACGACAGCCTGTTGTACTCGTAGGCTATTCCCTGGAAGGCAAAACGCAGATACTTTCTGTGCTCTGGAGCAATTTCTACATGAAAGTACGCGTCTTTCAGGTCGATGGTGGTGAACCAATCGCCTGGCTGCACAAGCCCCAGTAACTGTTTCATAGTTAACCTGCGGAATTTCCTGCAGGAAATGTGGCGATTCAGGCCGCTGAGATCTAGAATAGGTCTAAATTCCCCTGTCTTCCTGAGAACCAGGAAGTACATGGAATAAAGATCATTTTCTCTGTGCTGAGGGTGCACAACAGACACAGCCTGTTTCTGCACCAGAGCCTGAATCTCTGCTGAGAGGAAACACATCTCCTCCTGGGAGGACAGATTTACCTCTTGCATGCCCATGAAAAAGGTGGGTGTGGGACACCCACAAGACAGTGGTCCATGTGATACATTGGTACAGTGTATAGACATGTGGTACAGTGGGACGCTGCAAAACTGGAGTGAATGGCCCCGTTTCAGCGTCCTGTCCCTCCACATTGTAAGCACACAGCTGAGTTTCCATTCCCCAGAACATTGTGTTAATGGACAAGCCCTCAGGTGTGGGGCAGCAGCTATGAAGCTGTGATACTCTCTGGTGACCCGTTCCGCCGCAAAAACTCCCCGCGAAGGGAAGATTTGCCCATGGAGGGTTGACACAGAAAGGGCCGATTATTTACTGAGGACCCTGAACGCACCGCCGCGCGCTCTTGTGTGAGCGCGCGCTCCACCCTAATGCTGTTCTCACCACTACGGTAAACAGCATTCATCGGAGTCTTTATAGGCGTAGTGTGTTTTACTAAGGTCCCTGAACGCACCGCCACGCGCTCTTGTGTGAGTGCGGGCTCCGCCATAATGCAGCCTTTACCACTACGGAAAACTGCATTGGAGTCTTTGCTCTAGGCGTAGTGTGTTCTCTGACAGCAATACGCCGGCCATAATGTCCCTGTACCCGCATAGTGCTCTCCCTTAGATAGCACTCCCTGCGGTTCATCCCTCTCATCTGCGCATGCCCACTAGCCACCTCCTTTACAGGAGCTGCAGCATGGGGCAGCGAATGGGGAATTTGTACGGTTAACATTGTGTGTAAGTGTGGCCCTTGTGGAAACAAAAGACACTTAGACTTGGATACAGATCAACCTCATTTCTATTAGAAAACGTAGTGATCTGTGCATTATACAGGGAGGAGGCGGGATTCGCCCCCTCGTCCCGGGCGGAGAGATTTTCTCCCCCCGCCAGCCAGATCCGTAAAGACGGAAAGCCCGTCCCCGTGAGTGCCGGCACGCCGGTTCCACGGGGTGGGCCGAAGAGGTGGAGGGCGCCGCGGGCACGGAATCTCCGTGTCGGCACCTCTCCCTTCATCTCACCTCTCTAATGAGGTCTTTGAACGCACCGTGGCCCGCCCTCGGGGGAGGGGGGCCGCGCGCGCCGTCACAATGCCGTCTCTTTGAAACGGACATTATGGGGAAAAGTGGAATTGTGGAGAGAAATTACTCTTACTCTGGGATAAATGCAATAGTCTTTACTGAATGCATTTTTCCCACACACATACCTCACTCCAGAACTAGAGTTTACAAACGTAAACCACCGTTCTCCTGCGGGGGTCCCTGAACGCACCGCGGCCACTCTCACGAGGGCTGCGCGCCCACGTATTAATGCTGTATTTCCCATTGCAACGGTGAAATGCATTAATCTGAGCTATTATACCAGGCAAGGTGTGTTTTCTGACAACAGCACGCAGGCAATAGCGTCTCTTGAACCCGCACAGTGCTTTGACAGCACTCGGTTTATTCCACTCACGTGCACACGCCCCCCTGCTGGCTCCCTATACTGGGGTTTACAGCGGGGGCGGGGAGTGTAGGACAGTGTTTCTTCCTCTGGGAATGGGCAAGAAGCAGCCACGCTGCGACTACTCCTCATCCCGTGAGCAAGGAGATCGAGCCAAAGAGCCCTCCGTAAACACGGGGGCTCCCAGGAGATCAACACGATCCTCTTTGGAAAGTGCCACGCGGCGTGATATCCCAGGGACATCACACGGCGGGCAGCGGCGGCGGCCTGTGATGAAGTAGGGTCGACCCTATATCATGTGAAGCCACCGAGCACCGGTCCCCGGGGGAACCGGGCCTGGGGCAAGGCCCGTGGACCAAGCTACTTATTCGGCCTTGCGGCCCAATAATCGCTCTGACCTGGTGAGGCGCGGGCATCTCTAGCAATGAGTGAGTAGCCCACACACCCGCCGCCAAGATCATCATCCAGGGAGAGTACAGCCCTGGGCGGTGGACTTCCATGGACGCCAGACCCGGAAGGAATGGCGAACGTGAATGGCACCGCCTCGGCCATATCCTGGTCCCCCAAACACTCGAATCTAGCAGTGGCGACTCCCTGAAGGTATGATAACTCTTTTTAAACGTCTCTCAGTCTTTCGTGGAATCACCTCCGCTGCTGAAGAGAAAAGGATGATAGTCAGGAGGTGAGGCCTCCTTTTATACGGTGTGATGCGCGCGCATTCAGGTAGGCCCGCCCAAGGCCGGCTACGTCTATAGAAGTCTCAGTGGGAGAATGCTCGCAGGGTAAGGTAGTACCCATAGAGTCCAGTAGAGGGCGGAGCCTGTGAGAGATATAACTGCTCGTTAGTCTAGAAACTAAAAGCATGACAGGAAACAAAACAGAGAATCTTTTCCACTCTTCTGTAAAATCCTATAAGTCTGTTAGAAAGTTTCTTACTAACTAAACGTGGCTTTGCATTTTCAGCTTACAATATATAGTAGATGGAAGAATGAGAGAGCAGTCAGTGGAAACATCACTGATCTGTTTCTTCAGTGAGAGAAACACCTCCCTGTGTTTCATACAATACTGCTGAACCAGCAGAGACCCCGTACTGACCAGAGATGAGTGATATCAGCCTGATGTCTGCAGCTCAGAGTCAACACAACTCTCACATATTCATCTCAGCACAGAAGTTACAGATGGAGAACTGACCTGAGAGTCTCCAGTCTGCAGTCTGGACTCTCCAGAAGATCTCTCAGCAGCTTCACTCCTGAATCCTGCAGCCTGTTCCCACTCAGGTCCAGATCTCTCAGATGGGAGGGGTTGGACTTCAGAGCTGAGATCAGAGCAGAACAGCTGATCTCTGACAAGCTGCAGCCCCACAGTCTGAATAAAGAGAACGTGATGTTACTTTAGAAAACAATGTTCCTGCTTGAAATAACTCCAGGTTTAATAATCTGATCAGAGCTGAAGAAGTTCAGAAAGTGGAAACTCCAACAGGTTAAAAACTGTGAGACACAGAAAGAGGAAAAGAGCTCTCATTCACATTAAAGACAACGTGCAGCTACTTCAGTGTAAACTATTCAGTCAGTGTCAGCATCATGTAGATCCAGGAACACGTTGGAAACAGCAACAACTGAAAATACTTGTTTGATCATTTTAACAGAATTATTTTTTGTATTTCTGTATTTTTTTATAATTCATTTTATAAAAGCAGGATGGAGAATATAAGATGAATCTCAGGTGTTCAGAGTGAATCATGCAGTGTAGGGTTGTTCTTGTTATTTTAATCTAAAGATCATCAGTGCTCTGCCAGTCAGTGAAATGAGGCGAAGCCTGCAAGCTAGTTCAGGCAGTCAACTCGAGCACTTATGCTGCATTCATACATAACGCCCCTTGCCACTCTACAACCAACCAAACAGAGTCTCCTTAATATGCCGCTCTATTTAACCTGCCAGATCTCTCTCCATGCATTGCTTGCTGCTGCTATTGCCGCAGCTACCTCTACGTCGCTGCTGCTTGCCTGCTGCCACTGCTGCGTTCACTTGCTATTGCTGCGTTCATGTTCCTGCTGCTGTGTTTCATGTTGCTGCTGCTTGCCTGCCGGTGCTGTCCTTGCAAATGTCTATTGCAATCTCCGACTCTGGAACCGAATCATCATACGCAAGAAGCCGTAAGAAATGGCTCATTCCCGAAACACAGGCTAGCTCAGAGCATGGTTCAGACGCCGCTGGAACGAGCCACAGCTCCCGCACGACACACATTCAGGTGTCCCACTCCCTTCCGTCCATATCTGGAGTAGCTTTTAATATCCTTTGGGCCAGAGGAAGTCCCGAGTTCTACGCCAGCTCCGGTAACAACCCCTTTCTTGTGTGTCAGCTAAGAGTCTCTCGGTCGGCGGTGTAAAGGAATATTTTAGTCTGATGCTTAGCTGACCTGAGAAACTTCACGAGTGACTACTCTTTCTCTGTGTGGGGGAGGGGTACTGCCCACTCAGACAGAGTTTCTTTGTCTGTTCATCTGTAATCGATTAGGGGAAAAGGCGGGCTGTTTGGACCCCTCCTTTAAAGGATATATAGAGATGTTTCTATCTTTTGTGTTTAGAGTTAATTTTGGCAGCTTGCATTGAACAGTGCGAGTTGCTTTGTTAATCCTCCGGCCGTTTGTCTCTCAATAAATATCAGTGTATTGACAGGCGAATCCAGTTTCCCTCATTTGATGATTGGCTCAACATTGCTGCAAAGAAGTTTTTACTTCACAATTGGCGTCGCGAACAATTACCAACAGATCGTCGAGCTGGTGAGTGTAATTTCAAATCTATATTTTGACATTGCCTTGCCAGACTCTGTGATTGACGGTATAAAAATTACCTGTGGAACAGATAGATGCAATTTTTTTGGTTTCCTCTGTGTGTGTGCACGGCAAATATTCGGAGAGACCTTAAAGAGGGCATCAGTAATGTGGAACTTCTGTTCAAAAGCAATGTAAAGATTTGTACTGAAACGAATCCCCGAATTCTGGAGATTTCAACGGTTTAACTAGTTAAATCAACTCGCCTCGAAATCTCCCTGTTGCTGCTGCAAGGAGGGTGTGGGTAATTCCCCTCCCCCCCTGTGGAGAGCAGCACACGAGGAGAAACAAAGCACAGTGTTGTATTCTTCTTAAATCGCACCATTATGAGTTTTGGAACTAAACATAACTCTTATTAGGATGATACGAAATATTACGTCACGCTGTGTTTCATAAACTGGGGGGTTGTTGAATTTGGCTGTTGTTAAAATAAAGGGTACTGAATTCATTAAAAGTCTCTGCTCTCCGGATCGGGGAGGGCAGAGCACCACTAAATTAGCATAGTGGTTGTTGATTGAGAATAATGTGGTTATTACTCTTCAGCAGATTCCGTTCTTAGCACTTGTACAAGTATATATGAGTAAGAAGGCACTCATATTAAACAGATATTTCCCTACCCCCGCTGAAGTTTCCCTAATTCGGATTAAATTAAGCTGGATGAGTTTAGCTGTCACCTGATATTTGTTGCGGGTTCATGTTTGTTTGTATAATTGTTTCGTGTTTGTTTGTCTACCCGCCGTCTTGTGCATGCTTTGTAACAACTAATAATCAGTCCACAGCCAAGGTAAAATGAACTAAACTTTAGTTATCTCACCAAAAGTAAATGACAAGAACAAGACTCAGACATAATGATGATTGAACCCTTTTGCACTGTTTCTGCAAAATGAAAACTTTTTCATTATCTATTTCCAACTGGCCAGTGGAATTGGATAATTGATATAAGTTGAAGTTCAATTACAGTTTTTAAATATAGTTCAACATTCTTTATTAAACTGTTTCAAATTATTTCTAGTCATAATCCCCTCCTTTCTCTGCCCTGCTTGGTGCTGCAGAAGAAAAAAATTAAAAAAAAAAAAAAAAAACGCAAGACACGGGGTCAGAGACAGGCGTGACCTCTGGAAGGAAAAGATAATCTGAAGCAGACCACAGCACGGTGCGTTGGGGGTTTTATGGCCTGAGCACAAAGGAACATCTAATTTCAGCAGTCAGTTTTTTTTTGGCAGAACTGTTGAGCACTTTCAAAATGTATTTTCATGCCTCTGCAAGGCTTAGTCTTTCTATCTGTATAGCCACTGGTGTAAAGTAACTAAGTTCATAAACTCAACAAGTACTATACTTGGGCACAATTTTGAGATACTGGTACTTTATTTGAGTATTTAAATGTTTTGCTACTTTATTCTTCTACTCCACTACAGTTCAGTGGTACATGGTGTATTTCTACTCCACTACATGTATTTAATACCTTTAGTTACTTTCAGATGTGGATGAATGATGTGAAATATAACCAAGTGTTGAATCAGACTTTAGTTCCACCTGGAGTAAATCCACCAGCTACCCTGCAGTATACAAAGTCATTCAAACTAGCTGCACCTTTACCAGCTTTGAGAACACTCTCATGATCAATCATTATAAAACATATCATATATAGTATTCTGAAATAAACCAATCTGCACAGTGACTACTTTTACTGTCGCTATTTTGATGACAATACGTTTATACTTTTACTTGAGTAACATTTTGAATGCAGTGCTTTTACTGTAACTTAGTATTCCTACACTCTGGTACTTCTACTTTTACTCAAGAACAAGATCTGAGTACCTAAGCTAACGTTAGCCAGAAACCTTCCATTTTGACACACAGAACAATGGGGTGATTCAAAGTAATTCAAAGTAATTCACACAGCCTCTTCCCTATGGGAGGAGCAGCAGTTTCAGCTTCATTTAAATATGTCGTGTAGTAATGGATGGATTTATTTTTTCCTCTCAAGAGAGAATGTGTATTTTATGTTAGTATTTCAAAAAATCTCCTGGAGGAGAATCCCCCCAGACCCCAAGCGGGGGTTGGGTTTTCAGCATGTCAACTATTTCACTTGTGAGGAAATGGCAGGATTGGCTCCAGGTCACCCTTTTTATTTACTACAAGACAAATGTGCCTTTTTTATTTCATACAGTTAAATTTGGATTGAGACAGGGAAATAATCTAAACCTCACGCGTGGCGTTTCACTGTCAAAGGGGCAGTGTATGTAATTACATTTCTAATGCTGATTTGAGCCCCACCACTGTATGGGTTAGACCTACCATAGATTACCCAACGCAAATATCGCAAATACTCGGGAGCCGATAAGTCAATAAGTTGCTTTTCGCGACAGGCACACAATAAAACAGTGGAAACAAACATGTGTTTGACTTTCATTAGTGAATGAAACTGTGTGCCCTTTATAGTCTGTGTCCAATATTGTGTATTTGTATATATATTATATATATATATCCTAAATATATGCTAAGGTCCCGCTACTGACACGATAGCAGTCACTTCGTGCGCATGTGCGTAATTAAACCCATGATATCAAAATCTCACTCCAGCCAGGTACCCAAAGTTAGCAACCCTGTCCATACCCCAATAATATTTTATTGCAGAATCTACATGAATCACACAAACGACCTATTTTGGATTCAAAACGGCAAATTTCCCCAAAAGATGACAAGTTTGCATCCCTGCCTGTTATCGTTTTCATCACAGAGCTGGACAAATGGTGTATTGATTACTGATCTGTGCAAGTCCAATTTGTTAACTGACTTTGGTTCTAATGTTAATGTTAATTTGATTTCAACCCATAAGTAATTATTTAAATTAACTCAACATTCCACATGATGGATTAGTGTTCCACATTTTTCCCACTAATTTGTTTATGATTAGGCCAATGGTAAAGAGAGACATTGATGACCCTGTGTCCTTTTTGTTAGCACGTGGTTCCATTTTGTCTAATGGCGTTGGACAGCTTCACTAAGAGTCACCCAGCTCTACCCTGCTACAGTCCGGCTGAGTGCAGTCACAGAGATGCTATGGCTGCTCTACATGACATTAATGGTTTGGTCCGAGAATGGGCACCATTTCCTGCTCCCAGAGAGAATGACGCTCCTCACACTGAACATTACAGCCGTTGATACTGTCTCACGTGGGTCTGCTCCCCCCCACCGAGCCATGAACTGAAAGCTTGACGTCTGCTCTGAACACTTGGAACTGTCACACCAGCACCAACCCTTGGGTCAGTTAGATGAGACTAACGGCTTCACTTAGGGCATATGGGTCAGAAATATGACTCTCGTTACCATGGAGTGGGTTGTTTGTTTTTTAAGGCTATTTATACTGCTATGCAGAGTGAAGAGCCCCTACTATTTAAAAAAATAGGCCTAATGTCAGGGGCCTCTTACTGTCTACTTCTGCATGTATTCACGTTATATGGACCATGTTTCCACCTGTTGAAACTAGAGGCTGCACGGAACTCAGGCTACAATACAACCATTTTGTTCTGCTC